AAGCCACACCACAGTCTGGCTCCAGCTTCGGGCAGCTGCCACGCAGGCAGCCCAGGGAGCAGTTGGGAAGCCACTTTGCGGCCCTGAACAAAGCTTCAGCCCTGGGGAAGGGCTAGGGCTAGAGCAGACCTCAACCACGAGAGTAACCCACCCCCCATGGCCCCAGTCCCCTGAGCAGGCTCCGCCCTCTTCCTCCCCCCGGCAGGTCCCAGCATCCCCGCCATGCGATGGGCCCTGGCTGCAGGAGCTGGTCCCAGCCCTCCCACCATGTGGCCTCATCTCCCCCTTCCCCAGAGGCTCCACTCCACCACGCAGCCTCAGCTTCTCCCAGTTCCCCTCCCACCACGCTTCCTCAGCTGGCTTTGATCAGCCACCTGCCACGCTACTCACCTTCCAACAGCTGAGTGCAGCTGCATGGCTCTGCAAAGTAGGTGGGTAGGCAGGAACTATGCTGCTGACCCACAGAAAAATCAGTTAGATGGGGGATGGAGTGCCATTGTGGGCTCCCCAATTCTGCGGAGGAGGAGCCGGATCCAGTCAAGCCAGGGACTGCATCTGGCTCCTGGGCCTAAGGTTCCCCACCTCTGTTTTAAGCTATCTGGCAAAATTGCTTTCAGAATGCAACATGCGAAAACAGTGTATGCATTGAAACATGAGACTGGACTATGCCTGCACGGGCTTTATTTGGGCTGCCTGGATTTAATCAGGGTTAGAATTTGGAATATTTAGTAGATTTTGTAAAAGTATGTTATGGTTTAGGAGACAGAAAGCAAGTGAACTGAAAGGGCTTGGTTCCGCAATGCATAAGAAAAAAATAGATCAGAAGAGAGGTGTAGTGTGAGCTAATTAATGGTCTTGAATAAAGTGTTGGAAAAATCTAAGCTTGAATCATATAGGGAGCTTAGCCCCTTGACCCTAACTGTTAAGTTACCTCAATGCAAAGTGCTAATGGATGATGAATCAGCAATAACAGTGGGACCATAACAACTACCAGTGTTAATGGGGTAAGCAAGAGAGCTTGTATTGGTTTTAATAGTGTTCTATTCTCTATTCTGCATTAAATGAGCACATTGAAGGGTAAGCTTCTCTGAGCAACAACTCCTTTTTGACAGGTTTGGATTTTCTTCAGGGTTCTTGTCGAAAAGAAAGTTTCATTTAGTTTCCTTTTAAAAGCATGCTAACTTCAAATAGGCTTTTTTGAAAGAGGTAGAATAAGAAGGTAAAGAAGCAAAAGGCTTGGGAAATGGAAATTTTCGTCTCTTAGGTTCAGCTATAACTAGGCCCCTACCAAACTCACAATCATGCATGCACCCACAGACAATTAAATTTGGTTCCCTCTTCTCCATGTGCTTTTACACAATACTATACTGATTTTATGGGGGAGGCCAGGGTTTCTTAAATTGGAGGTCCTGACTCAAAAGGGAGTTTGAGGGGATTGTAAGATTATTTGGTGGGGGGAGGGGGAGAGAGTTGCAGTGGATGTTGGAAGGTCACTAGCTCTGAAGGTCACCACCAGCAGCAGTGCAGAAGTAAGGGTGGAAGTTCCATAGAATGCCATCCTTATTTCTGTGCTGCTGTATGACATTTATTTATTTTCAAAAACTTATGACTGTGAAATTGACCAAAATGGAACATGAATTTGATAGAGCCCTACCAATGAAATAAAAAGTGTTACTTTTTTTTCTGACCAGCATTTTCAGTAATTTCTGATTTTTTTTTAAACAGTCATCTATGAGCTGGGATAAAAGAATAAGCATTGGTTCATCACTCCCAAGCAACCTCTCTAGTCCTACAGACGATCTACCTCCAACTCGTATCAAAGAGAACCACATTTTGGAAGGGCTGAAGAAGTTACAGAAACGGAAAATATTATTTGAACCATCTTCATTATTATCAAAATGGGGTTACAAAGATTGCATGGACTCCAATGAAGGGATATATTCCCCTGGAATTAAATGTGGCAGTCATGAAGAACAAACTCGTTGTAAGCCAATAGAAATAGGGAGTGTTTGCATCGAGCACAATAAAACTTTCACTTATGATTCAGATTCACATGATGATGCAGATGATGAATCTTCGTCTTTAGTGTTGCTGCATGAAATACCAAGCAAAGGCTGCAGGCTCTATTGTAATAAATTAACCCACAGTATTTCTGACAGTCTAGTTGGTTGGGAGCCTAATGGGAAACATTTACTTGAAAAAGGTTCTTATTTTAATTCAAAGGAAAGACCTGAAAAACTAACTAGTTTTGGCAATGGTTTTCAGTTGGAGGTAAAATCATGTCCAAATGTTAAACTGCCTGTACTACAGCTAGATCAAAGTGCTGCTAATCTAGGTTGGAAGGACCTTCATTTACAGTTTTCAGATACTGATGACAATGAAGTCATGGACGAACTGCATATAGAAAGCAGTGATGAAAAAAGTCCATTGGAGTTATCAACAACTCCCTTTATTGACAAGCATACCAAGAGCTCTGATGTGCTTGCAAGGACAGAGACTTCTGAGTTTGTATCTACTGATGGAGAGGAAAAACAAGTGTTCACTAAGTCAGATATTGGGCCAAAGACATGTAATTTCATTAAACAACAAAAGGTTATAGAAAAGACTTCTGAAGAATGCACTACTGTAATATTTGATGCTAAGGATGGTGAGCCTATTGAATTCAGCTCACATCAATCTGGAGTGGTCACGATGACTAGAAATGAAATTTCAATCAACCGACCACAAAGCGGACCCAATGCAAAATACACTGAACATATACCTCAGGGAATCAATAATTTGCAGACAGGAACTGATGCTAGAAACTACAGTGTTTTAGAAACACCTAAAGATGAAATAGAGAAAAAGACTCTTCAGAATAACGCAGGGAATGAAAATACAGTTGTTCCCATGACATGCAGTGAATCGTTACACGTTGGAAGAACATTGTTGCAAAATACTGTACAACAAAAGCTGGTGAAACCAGTGTACAATGCATCATACAAGGCCAATTCCACATCTACTGTTCATGCAGGTATCAATCAAAAACAAAGCTTGACTAAAATTCCCAGCAGAAGTAAGTATTCACCACAGAAAATTAAGGTGATGGACAGTGAGGAGTCTGCTGCAGCCTCATCCTCTGACCCAACAATCCTAGGAAAATCCCCAGCTTTTGCACCTGTGAAACTGTCAAGATTCAAAAAGGCACAAAGTCCAACACATAATCTGGATTCAAAAATAGACATACATATTCCAAAGCACCCTGCCCATCTTCCTGAAAATTCTAAAGGAAGTGATTGGACAAAGAATGCAGAGATTCCAGTTCCAGGATCACCGTTATTGCTGCGGCACCTTATAGAACCCAGTGACTTTGGAGAACCGCCAACCAGAGACATTCATTGTGATTTAACAACTGTAGAAATCCAATCCCCTTCACCACCCCCTCCACCAGGCCGATCAACTTCACTGTTAATAAAACCAAACTATGAACATTCTCCACCTTTATCCACAAAGCCAGGAGCAACTATTCCCAATGAAACAGCAAAAAATAGTCTTAAATCATCACCCTTAAAAGATACTGCAAACCCTGTTCCTTTTCAGAAACTATTTAATCATGAAATGCAAACAAAAAATACACCTCTCATGGCCAAAACTGAATTAGCTCATCTTCCAGAGAATGCAGAAATGAGCACCCAAAACATGTCTCAGCAGTCCTACAGCTCCCCTGGAGCCTCCCAAGGGCTTTCCAAAGTTTTCATAAAGAAAGCTTGCCCTAAAACCTCTAATCAATCAGTATTCTGTAGCAATCAGGAACTTTCTAACACAGGATTATGGACTGCTAAGACTTTCTCGCTAGCTTGTGTGTCACTGAAAACTGTTTCCCCACAAAGCACATATTCAGGAAAAAAAGAACTATCCAGTGACAATGGAGTTCCTCAGCCTCAAAAGATGCCAAATAGTTTGCCCACATCTCCACAATGTCACACAGCAAGTACTTGCCAGCCTCTTCTATCTCAGGTTAACCATTCCTCATTACAACTATTGTTTCAAGACAGTGACATGACAAATGCTGTCCAAAACTCTCATGAGAAAGGACTGAAAACCCGTCTCCCTGTAGAACTGCAACTACTTGTAAAATCTCCCCAGCTCCTCAGGAAGAGTTCTACTGTACCAGGGAAACAAGAAAAAGACAGTATAAATGCAGCTTCCAAAAGCAGTGTCACTTCATGTAAGTACGAGCAGGATGAATCCATGAGTCTAATCACAACAGAAACAATGGATACTAAATTAAGCGTTGCTATGGCCGATTCTGAAATAAAAGATAATTTTTCCATGGGACTTGGTATGAATACAGCATCATCTCTCTCTCCTAAAAACTGCAACATGATGGTAGACAGAGAAGATGGATTAGAAAACAAATTAGTTAAGAGATCTGTTTCTTCTAGTAATAAAACATACTTAAAACCAGCTCTGGGAATGAATGGAGCAAAGGCCCGTAGTCAAAGTTTTAGTGTTCACACAGGGGAAAAGCCAGCCACCACTGTAAGTGAAGGGCTAGGAAAAGTACGGACTCAGATCATTACTAACACTTCTGAAAGAGGAAATTCTTTAACAAGACAGAACTCTAACATGGAGGGATACCAATTCAAAGCCATTCCTGGATTAGTGGCATCAGAAACTCTTTCAAATATTTCAAAAGTCCCAGAAAATGTCTATTCTAGACAAGGTTCTGATGTAAGTATGACTAGTTCCAATAGTCAGAATGGTAGCCCAAGTAAACTACCATTCAGAACATCTCCAAAAGTGGACTTGCTTCACAGCGTTTCAAAATGTGAGGGAAACAAATCATCGTCTCAGAAAGATAGACCAAGTATATTTATCCACAGTGGAAAAACCAGTGAGAATTCTAAAAAGCATACGCTGAACAAAAAAAGCAACATACAAGTAGAATTGGAGTTCAAGTCATCACCTGCTATTCCAAAAGAACCAATTTCATCATTTCAAAATTTGGATAGAATAAGTTATCCTCATAAACTTGAAGCAAGCAAGTCACAAAGACAAGAAATCTGTGAGGTTACCCATGCTTTGAGTTCATCTGTTGCACAACCTACAATAGAGGAAAAAGTCATGTTGTGTATCCAGGAAAATGTGCAGAAGGGTCAAGGGCAAACGAAATCTCCCACTTCTGAGATGAAGCAAAAGACTGGGCCCTCTATAGCTAGCTGGTTTGGTTTTCGTAAGAGTAAACTCCCAGCTCTGAATGGTAGAAAAACTGATGTTCCTAAAGCAAAGGTAGAAAAGAAAGAAGCAAAAAGTTCAGGTTTTGGAAGTAAGCAGGCAAAATCAGAGAAAAAAAAAGATAAAAAGAGAACTGACCAACACTGTGAAGCAGAGAATGAATTTAATAAGAAAACAGAAACTGGTGACATTTTGAATGGTGATTTGAAAGGCAAAAAGAACACAAAATCTTCCCAAGACATCCCTGGCCAGATTAGATGTTACCAAAAGAGTGGTTCCTCCATCACATATTCAGCAAAAGACAGTTTTATGAAAGAACTTTTAAACAGGTAATTACTTTATGAAACAATTTGGGATGTGGAGATTTTTAAAAATAAAATGATAATCTGGCTCATATTATTTTGTTAACCAAACCAATGGTCTTTGAAATTAAAGAATGGTAAATTTGATCAAAGATGATAATAATTAAACTATACCAGAATGTAGGCATATGAAAACAGGAAGATTATGTACATGGCTTTTTCCTCCCATTCTTAGTGATTGTAGCCAGTAAATGTGTTCAGTAACTAGCCAGAATTAATTACATTTACTACTACCATACCTTAAGCTACAAAGACACTCTACAATCATTATACAGTGATTCCCAGTTTGCCCCACAGCAATCCCAAATATAAAATAAATCATTGTATGTGAAAGACTAAATTGATATACTACCTGAAATTGCAAGTGACAGATTTGATCAAGGCTAGTTAGAAACATTTATCACTCAAAGGTCTAGAGACAGAAAGATACAGAGAGGTTACTTTAAACATTAAAGGAATGGGAAAAGTGGAGTGATTGAAGAAGGGCAATGTAATTTATCAGAGGAATCACTTTCTACCTGCAGAGTTGATAAGAAAGCAGCTCAGCAGACAGAAAGTGGATCAAATAATGTTTCCTACAGGAGTGTGTCGAAGGGCAGCTCCCAGGGCTCTTCTCTTCCCAGCAACTCTATCATCACTCAAGGAAGCCACAAGAAAAACAGCCAAACAAAAGCTGATATGGAAATTCAGCATGAGACTCTGGTAAGTTCTTTAGTGCACAAAAGCATTATTTCCCTTTTACTAATTTCTGGATGTGCTTTGCCCCTTATTGCCAGTGCAGACAAACAAGACAATCAATGCTAATATATAATAGAAAGAATTATGTGGCTGGAGAACAATGAATTAATGCCAAATATGGCAGTTTGATTCTGGGCCAAATTATATGACTATAAATCTTATTGCTTTTAATGGCAATTCAATGTCTGTAAACATATTTGCACAATGATGCCATAATCACAAGGCATCCCAATGAAATAATGGGATCATTATCTGTTTTGTTTTGTTTTGTTTTTGTTTTACTTTCGCCTGCTTGTGTCAAACATTCTTCTGATCTGATCAAAACTATTACAAATAAAACATATAAAACTCATGAAAAAAAGGAAAGCGCTGAACCACATGTAGGGATGTTTGTTGCTGGATACCTGACTTTCTGTGTGAATTAAGCCCCTTAGCTACTCCTTGTAGCTTTGAAAATCTCCCCCGTGGAGTGAATTTTGTGCTTCTCTACAGTTTTTAATGGATCTGATACTTTAATTTATGCAGAAAATAGAAGCATTATATTTCCACAGGAAAATTGATTTAAGCACTGTCAGCTCTTAGGCCCTGATCATAAAGGTTATGCATGTATATGCTTAGCTTTACACTTTGTGAGTAGTGCTTGCTGTGCATCAGATGAATGAAGCTAAGAAAGAGTAAATCTTTGTGGGATTATGACCTCAGACTTTACTTTAAAAATACCATTAATTATGGAGTTTTAATATTTAATCTTGGAACTCAGCTGAGAGTGATTTCTCCTTTAAAGAAAGCTTCTCCCATGATGTTATAAAGTTCAGATAACCATGGCATTCAGATGTTTGAACTTCGACAGCATTTAATTTTGTATCATAAAACTTTTTTCACTTTTCATATTTGTGTTAACCACATTATCTAGCCTTTTTGCAAAATAATTTGAACACTTGTATCAGACACATACACTCTTCAGCATTAAATTAAGCATATAATTTTTGTTCTAACAAAATGAGTTATTAAAATACCGCACATCCTACCATTCCACATGAGAAAATTTGAAATACAAAGCAATTAAATAATTCTTTGGGTTATGTTTGAAGGGTAGAACAAGTTTCAAAAGATTTCATAAAAAGAATTGGAAAACCTCCTAATTTACTATTGATGTTAGAATGTTTGAGGTTCAAGTATCAGAGATATACTTCTAAGTCCAGACAAATGTGCATTTTTATTTTCATGCAAATAATGTCTCTCCTAAGGATATACAAGGTCATTTTTTAAAACACTTTCAGAGAGCATTGGCACAATGAATGCTTGGGAAAACTTTTTTGCTCCTGGCTTCTATGGTATCATCTCTTCTTTGAAAATGTAGATGTCCCCTGCATTATAAAACCACAAATTAGAAGCATATCTAAGGCTGCCCTTGTAGTGTCACTGAAAGGAAAGAGAGAGAATGAAAGTCTGGAAATGTGCAATATGCAGGAAATTCAATCCAACTGATCTAGAACTTTGATAGCAAAGCCGAGCTTCTTATCAGAGCCACTCAATTTAACTATGCCCCATTTAATATGGTCCTGACAGCTTAGGGTATATCGTCACTGTACAGAAGTACAAAAAAGCTCTGAACCATTGCTTCTACAATTTCTTTTTCTCTTTCTTATTATTTTCTAATGTTGCAATAATTTGCTATGCTTTTTGTCTCTAATTTTGTGAAGTCTTTCTACATATAACAATAACAGTCATTTAGGACTTTAAGTATATCTTCAAGAAACACACTTCATTTTATCGGTGAAGTTCAAAGATTGTCCTTAATATACATAAATAATGGAGAAATGCTAATTATCCTATTTAGCTTCTAAGGACAAATTAGTCATGGTGAAAAAGCATTACCTATCTAATACCATACATCCCTTTGTGAAGCTAGAAATCAAAGAATTATAACAATATTGTTTTTGAAGATTCAAGTTGCCTCAGTTGGGAATTCCTTATTATGAATTTCGTTGAATTTAATTCCTAAATGAAATGACTAGTGCCAACATGTTGAGGACATTTAGAATAAAAAGCACATACTTCGTGCTCTTAAGTCTAACTTTTGAAAGAAATATGCTGTTAAATAAAATTTGTTAATTAAATGGAATTTCAGCTTGTCTTCCAAACTCCTGCAAGAGAAACAATTGAAACTCTTTAATTCATGCATCTTATTTCTAGCTCTTTCCATTATTCTTTGGTGCCAGCTTTCTTTGAAGAAGATTGCAAAGGATTCTGTTTAGAGAGATATCTATGATTGAAAACTCTAGTATGTGGTAGCATAGACCATCATGTATCATTTATAAAAAGGAAAAATAAATGCCTTTTGAGAAAACAGTATAAATCATTTAAAAACCATAAACTAAGAGGATTATTCTTCTCTTAACATTGTAAAGTACATTCAGTAATGAGGGTCAGCTCTGAAACTAACACTTGTACTTCAAACCTCATATAGTATGTACTGCTTTTTAAAAACCTGACAGTAATATGAGGCTCTTTTAAACATTAACATTCTAGAAAATGTCTTTTCGAGATTTTTTTTCTTACACTTCACAGAATTAAATCTTTTCTCTTTCCAAGTGCTAATTAAAGGCATGAAGGCCTGTTATGCCATCACTTATGCAGCACTTATCTCTAATTTTTGTGCATCTTTCCTGGCTCTCATTACCCAGCTCTCATATTTAAAAGATATAAAACTAGTGTTTCATTAACAGCAAGCTTAGGCATCACCCTTGAGAGATGTACACAACCACCAAATGCATCGTGATGAAGTTAATCAAAAAAGGTACCCTTGGGGCCAAATGTTACTCATGCACACAATTGGTCCTGTTGACATAAAACAATAACACTCCACATGTTCTTTTTGGACACAGACCTCAACTTGTTCATACCACTGGCCATTACTTCAGGTGAGGTGCAACAGCTTTGAAATGTTAGCATATTTTGGCTGCAATACTTCTGTAAGTTGATCTATGGTGGCTCATTCTGTTGTTAAAAGTGATCCTGAAGTAACATAGTCAGACTAGGGGTAGATTGTGCCATACCCTCACTTTTGTTGACAAGGTATGGAAATGGGGACACAGAACAATTGTAAGCTAGATTTTAATCAGCTATAAGACTACTGTAACAGAGGGTATGTCTAGACCACATGCCTCTGCCGGCAGAGGCATGTAAATTAGACTACCTGACATAGTCAATGAAGCGGGGATTTAAATATCCCCCGCTTCTTTAAAATAAAAATGGCCGCCACGCTGTGCTGGCTCAACTGATCGTCAGCACAATTTAGCAGTCAAGATGCAGATCGGTCGGCAAGGAAAGCCTTTGCCAGCCGATCCTGTAAACCTCGTTTCACAAGGAATAAGGGATTGGTCGACAAAGGCTTTCCTGATCGATGGATCCACGTCTTGACTGCCGCATTGTGCCGATGATCAGCTGAGCCGACACAGCATGACGGCCATTTTTATTTTAAAGAAGCGGGGGATATTTAAATCCCCACTTCATTGACTATGTCGGGTAGTCTAATTTACATGCCTTTGCCGGCGGGGGCATGTAGTCTAGACATACCCAGAGGGTATAAGGTGGGGGAGAAGTCAGTGGAACCACCTGTATGAGTAAGACAAGCAGAATGTGGCCTATGAAGATTTTTTTTAAATAAATAGTTTTGCAAGTAATAAATCCTAAGATTTTTTTTTTTTGAATGTATATAAAGTCATATAGATACTGGGAATGGTTTAGGGCAAAAGTGAGTGATTATCAAGTATTAATAAGAGCACCAAGTATTTGAAAGAGTGAATTTTTGTGAGGGCTTGTTCTCTCTCAAGAGAAGAGAAGAAACAGTATGAAATATGCTGTTCTCTCAAGCATCACCTAGAAAATCCATGGGGATAGAATCACAATACTACAGAGAAGATCAGCATGGTGATCTTGGTGCATGATGCATTTTTTTAAATTATGATTGGCTTTCTAAGTAACCTTTAACAGGTGGAAAAGTCAACACCAGGGTTAAGTGATTGTTTCTTTACTTTAATTTTTTGTTGTACTATGTGCAGACTAAAGTGGTCACAGAAAGCCAGCAAGAAGGTGAAGAAGACACCATCACAAGCACTCCATGTCAGAGTCACGTAATAGGTACAAAACTATATTTTATATGGGTATTATTTGTGCTTTGTTTTCCTGGTTAAAACAATGTTTAATCTCAGTAGCTAACTTAGCTACTGAATTGTCCTTTTTAATAAAGGACTTACTCTTTATTGAGTTGCCAGGCTAGAGGTACAGATATTGACCCCCTGCTCTACTACTCTGAAATCAATTGTGGAGCAAGGTGGAATTTGATGTGACTAAAGGTGTTGGAATCTGGCCCAGAGGTTACAACTAGAGCATTCTAGTATCCTGTGGCTTGGTCCTATAGTAATTTTCCATGCAAAACTGACATTGCTTTTTGTCAGAATTCCACCAATGTACAATCTGTAACTATATATTCTGACTTGATGAAGGGATGGCGGATAGCTCAGTATCATCTCAGGAGCAGAGCAAGGATCAACTGTGACTCAGAGTCACAGTTTCTGATCTACTCCTCCCTTGCTCTGGTGGAGAAATTTACTTCACCTCTTTTTTGTGGAGCAGCTCACTCCCATCTCAGCACCCAGCAATCCTTCTCTGACCAGTGGGTTGAAGCAGGGAACCCACAGCTGCTCCTACTCTGATCATCTTTGTTCCTCCCTAACCATTTGCTTACAGCAGAGATTATCAGATGAGTAAACTCTGCTCTTCTCACCACAGCGAGTATCAGAGTCACGCTCTGTATTGAGGAGCTATGACAGTCTAGCACAGAGTGAGTGTACAATGCAGCCCCTCTTTAAGGAAAAGTAACAACAGGCTGAACCTCTCTAGTGCAGCATCCTTGGGAACTGATCGATGCTGAACCAGAGAATTTGCCGAACCATGGGAAGTCGATATTGTCTAGCAGCATTACCAACACTTCCACTGCTTACTGGGCTGTTAGGAGACATTTGGGGGGTAAATTAGAGATAAATAACAGCACAGAATACTGAGCCAGGATTGGTAGCTGTAAACAACTTTATGGGATCACAGGAAACTTGGCCACACCCATGATAGGTGAAGATCTGGCCAACTAAAATCATACCAGATCATGGATGTTGCTGAAACAGAGAATACTGGACTAGAGAGGTTCAACCTATAAAAGGTTTGACTAAATAAATAAGAAAAGAATTACCTTTGTTGTGTGTTCTTCTGTGGCCTCACACAATTCCTCCTCTTTGCTATTTGATTAGTGTTTACTACTTTTCAGCATTTCTTAAATTATTGTTTCCATACGCTCTGATGTAATAAGGGTGGAAATATGGCCCAGTGGAAGAGGATCTCATAGAATCATTAGTCCACTTTATGTGGGTCTGGAGGCTTCTGCAGTGGCTGTTTCCACTCCCCTGTGCGGCTGGAAATTGCAACACAGGGTAGAATCTGACCTAATGTTTCCAGGGTACTGCCAGGGTATGTCTACACTACAGCGTTAATGCGAGTTAACTTAATTCGAAATAGTTAATTCGAATTAAGCTAATTTGAATTAACGCATCTACACACAAAACCTATTTCGAAATAGTGTTTTGCTCTTTCAAAATAGTGCATCCACACTGAGTGGACCCTGAACTGAAGTTAAGGCTGGCCGGAACCAGTGCCGGCAGGGCATCAGGTTATGACTTAGTGTGTGGGTCTGCTGCCTGACGCTAACTCATCTCCTTGCTTAAAGGGACCCTACCCCCATCCCAGACAGACAGTTCTCAGGGTTCCCCGCTTGCTTGTCTACCTCGATGAGGGACAGCAAAGCAGTCCTGTCTTGGAGTGCCCGCACTCAGGACACCACAGCACTCGGCCACACGGAGCCAGAGCTGCCCCTGGGTACGCCGGTGCATCTCGTGTGGTCGTTGCCATCAGCCCGGCTGCACTTGCTGCAGGCTACCATCAGGAGGGTCCATCGGGGGGGCTGTCAGGATCCAGGAGGCCCTGCAGGAGAGCGTCCACCCCGAGGAGCCCTCAGAGCCACTCCAGTCCTCCCCATTGGGGGCTCGTACCCCATTCCTCCCTCACCTCCTTCCACTTACCCCTCCCTAGCCCCCCTTCCTGATGTCAAAGAAAAGACATGTATGTTTAAAAATAGAAACTGGGTTTATTGAACAAAACTAGGGGGGGAATGAACCTCTGGGAAGATTGGGAAAAGGAGGTGGAAGAGGGGAAGAGATAGGGTGGGAGAGGAGAGGGGGAAACCTGGGAGGAGGGAGCTGGAAGGGGGAAGCAAGGGGAAGAAGGGGGAGGGGAAGCTCAGGGCTCAGGGTTGGGAGTCTCACCGGATCAACTTGATTTTCATGCAAACCTGCTCCTGGGTTCCCATGTGGTCTTTGGTGGCCAGGCTGGTAGCTATCCTGCCATAGACAGCTGCATTCCTTCGTTTAGTGCAGAGATCATGGACGTTGGGGGCATCCCCCCACACCTGAATAAGGTCCATGATCTCCATGCTGGACCAAGAAGGTGCCCACCTTCTCCAGCCCCTGTCAGGCTCCTGGGAGCGGTGGAGGGCTGGCTGCCAGTGACTTCCTGGCTCATGTTTTGAGGCCACTGGGTCAGGGGCCCTGGTGGCCACTGCTGGCTCTGGGCTGGCAGGCTTGGAGCTGGCACAGGCACTGTGGCCAGGTTCTACCCTTTAATAGCTCTGGGGCTGGGGGAGAGGAGAGTAAGTTTTCCTGATTGTGCCCAGAGTGGCCACCAGGGCTCCCTGGGAAGGGCTGGAGGCCCCCTATTTCGAATTAAGTGTCTACACAGCACTTAATTCGAAATTCCTATTTCGAATTTAGCGTTACTCCTCATAGAATGAGGTTTACCAAATTCATATTAAGCACTCCACTATTTCAAATTAAATTCAAAATAGTGGTTTGCGTGTATAGATGCTATTAAAGTTAATTTGAAATAGCGGCTGTTATTTCGAATTAACTTTGCAGTGTAGACATACCCTTTGAGATTACATCAGGAAAAAACAGTTTTCAAGTTGTCTTGTCAAGCTGTTCTGAGGAAGCTCAAAAGCATGAGTACCAACCTCAAGGCAGGCTGGTAAGAAGGTTTAGGTTGGACATTAGGAAAAACTTCTGTCATGGTGATTAAACACTGGAATAAGTTGCCTAGGGAGGTTGTGGAATCTCCATCTCTGGAGATCTTTAAGAGCAGGTTAGATAGGCTTCTATCTGGGATGGTCTAGACCAGCGGTTCTCAAACTTTTGGGGCTCCAGAGCCCTTTAAATGCGTAAAAATGTATGCGGAGCCCCAGTGGTCCACTGATTGTATGCGTTGTACTACAGATGTTTCCAGTTTGTGAACCTCGCGGAGCCCCTGGAGATGTCTCGTGGAGCTCTGGGGCACCGCAGAGCACAGTTTGAGAAACACTGGTCTAGACGACACTGGGTCCTGCTGTGAGGGCAGGGGACTGGACTCGATGATCTCCTGAGGTCCCTTCCAGTTCTTGTGTTCTATGATTCTATGGTTCTAAGAAGGGTACCAACCCCAGTTTGCCTTAGATTTCTATAGTTAGATTTCATCAACAAAGGATAAAGTGCAGACTCCTCTAGCACTACAAAAGCCTTAACAGACAGTCCCCTTGTGTAGTCTGATCAATCTTGTCACCTAGACTAGCCTGCCTTTGTGATTGATGGCCCCTTACACCAAAAAACATAACAATATTCAGGTTACTCCCAATCCCAAAGGACTAATAACTTACTGCAGGTTAATTGCCCTTGAGATCTCACATCAAAGACAATACTTGTAGCCAATCCTGTGATAAACTCTGAAGATATATTAACTGGGAAAAGGAAAGAACATTATTTACAAGGTTAAAGCAGATAAATACATTTACACACAAATGAATTGCAGTCTTGACTTTCAAAATGTAATAGAAACTTCTATAATAAGTAAGCTCTTTATGTCCTCTAAGGCTAACCACTGGGAGCTTTTGCTTGTGTTTAATAATCCTTGCCCCTCAGAGTCCAAGCAGCATAAAAATACAGTTTCTCCTTGATGGGGCTTTTTATTCCTTCTCCTTCAAGTTGCAAGTTCAACTGCTGGGAGGAGTTCAGTGTTACATCTCTTTATGGGACATAGGAGAGTAATCAATAAAGTATTGTGTCCTCTGCTGTTCCACGAGGGTTTGTCGGATGTTGGTGGGACGCCTTTTGTTGGGTATGAGAGATCTCCCATTGTCACTAGTATTTCACTCTTGCTATACTTCTCTCCTGTCATGCGATTTCCAGTTATGCAGCAAACACTTAAATATTACTTTATAACATGGGACATTGTAAGTGAGATTAATGCATGCAGCAGTTGCAAGCATTTCACGAAGTATTAACTAAACATGTGTATAACTCTAATACCTGTTGTAACAACACTAGCTCACAGTTTAGCCAGTCTAGTTCCAATTATGTATTTGTTGGTGTTTGGCTGACACGTAGAGGCCTTGGCATGAGCTGGCACCTGGTCTGCGAATGTCACAATTCTCATTCCCCACAATGTTCAGAGCCTGGGGGGAAACAAAGTCATCAGATCATACCATGCTGTAAAACTAATTCTAAACAATGTGTCTTCTGTTTAGTTATGCGGGGTGAGCAAAAGGGGCTCCTTCAACCCTCACATCTCTTAACACACGCCTGCAGGGCCAGCCATAATTTGTCCCTGATTGTAACAGTGACAGTTGGACCCTGTGATGAATATTTAAGGGACTCCAAGGCTCCCCTGCCTGCTGCTGGTGTAGATTACAACCATTAATGGCTGAGTACCCATTAGTTGGGGTTTCTTTAAAAGATGTTTTGTTTTATCATTATTCTGGTAAGTGAATTCTTATGATAATTCGTGCTGCTAGGTTTTTGGATTAAATATTTTGACTTCCAGCTTGTTTTCAAGGCTGTGAAACTGTACAGTATATATAAACGCTGTAAAACCGTATAACATAGTCCCTTGACTTCTTGCAGTATTTAAGTGCACGCTGCAGCGTTAGCTTATAAGTACATATTCTGATGGTTTGAGACCAGAGTTCACCAGTGCTGATGTTTCTGGGTGGTTATTAAATAAAATTCTAA